AGATGGTGAGGGCCTGGGTCAGGGCAGTAAGACAACACTAATGAGAAGGGAGAAGAGGTGGGACTTGCTGGTGACTCACTGAGCTCAGCGGGAAGGGACTGGGGGGTGAGTGAGGCTGCGATGCAGGAGTGACCACTGCAGGCTCTGCGGAAGCTACTCTGAGGGGAGGGAGACCAGCTACCCCTTTCCAGCCTGTCTTCTCTCTCGGTTCAGTTCACAGTGTGCTTGCGTCGGGAAGGGCAGACTGTGTACCAGCAAGTCCTGTCTGTGGAGCGCCCAAGTGTCCTGCGCAGCTGGAACTGGGGCCTGTGTGGGTACTTTGCGTTCTACCACGCCCTCTATCCCCGAGCCTGGACCGTCTATCAGCTTCCTGGCCAGAACGTCACCCTCACCTGCCGCCAGATCACACCCATCTTGCCCCACAACTACCAGGTGCAATTCCCTGTTTCCTCCATGGCCCCCCCTTCCCTGGGTTCTGTCTCTGCTGGAACTTTCATGTGCTGGGAAAGAAGGGGTGGAGCGCGAACATCACGCTGGTTTCCCAGGACCACCGCCCGCACAGCCAGTCTGCTGTCTCCTGGTAGACAGCCTGTGTGGGAATATGGGGATATGCAAGTGGAAGACAGGAGAGTATGTTGGGAGTTATTTGAGTCAGGTCCTTGCTGTGAGGCTTGATCCTGGGAGGGGCCATGGAGGGGCTCTACTGGGACCATCTGAATCTTATCTTTTGTACCCAGGACAGCAGTCTGCCTGTAGGAGTCTTTGTGTGGGATGTGGAAAATGAAGGGGATGAAGCCCTGGATGTGTCCATCATGTTCTCCATGCGCAATGGACTGGGAGGTAGGGACGATGCCCCAGGGGGGTTGTGGAATGAACCCTTTTCTCTGGAGCGTGATGGGGAGACTGTTCGGGGATTGCTGCTGCACCATCCGACCCGTCCGAATCCCTACACGATGGCCGTGGCTGCACGACTCACGGTACGGAGCAGCCTGCCCTTCAACATGCCTTAACCCCCGAACCCCGACCCCGGGCCCGGCCCCTGAGCTCACCCCATCCCACCATGGTCTCCTCATTTCTTAAACTCCAGAGTCCCACTCTCCCCACAGTCCTTAAGCCTCTGGAACTTGGAGGAGGTTGGAATATGTGATAAGAGTGAGAGAGTGTTTGCTGGAAGCCAACATACCTGAGAGTTTCCCCTCACAATCTTTGGCCCCTTAACAGGAAGATACGACGGTAACTTATGCCACAGCTTTTGACCCTGATGGCACTGGGCAGCAGGTGTGGCAGGATCTACTTCAGGATGGACAGCTGGACTCCCCTACTGGTGATGGGGGGGTCTCACAGGGAGGTGGCGGGAAGAGAGGTTGCCCCTGTCTGGGGAGCAGGGTGGGAGGCCTGGTAATGAATGGGCCTTGGTCCTAAGTTGTGGATCCCTAGGGCTGAAGGGGTCGCCTGTGCTGATTCCCCTCGTGTCCTCAGGTCCGAGCACCCCCTCACAGAAAGGGGTAGGCATCGCTGGGGCTGTGTGCGTTATGGGTAAGCTGCCACCTCGAGGCCGGTGCCGCCTGGAGTTCTCACTGGCATGGGACATGCCCAGAATCATGTTTGGAGCCAAGGGTCAGGTCTACTGCAGGTGAGGGGACCAAGAGTGTGCAGGGATCGAAGGTGCTAGGGCTCTGACCTGGCACCGATGTGTCCATCTTTCCTTCTCTTCACCCCAGGCGTTACACAAGGTTCTTTGGCTCAGATGGCGACGCAGCACCCGCTCTCAGCCACTACGCACTGTGCCGATATGCAGACTGGGAGGAGAGGATCTTGGCTTGGCAGAGCTCAGTATTGGACAACAGGTGCCAGCAGGGCCCACCTCCCACCCTTCTCCCAGGCCTTCTCTACACCCACCAAGTCAGCAGACTTGAGCTGGGATTCACTGGGTGCCCCCACTCTACTGAACACAAGTCTTTCCTGGGAGGTCCACACTCGCTAGACCATTCTCTCCTGGCTCCCCAGGTCCTTGCCGGCATGGTACAAATCTGCGCTCTTCAACGAACTGTACTTCCTGGCCGATGGAGGCACAATATGGCTGGAAGTTCCAGAGGACTCCCTACCAGAGGAGCTGGCAGGAAGCATGCGTCGACTCCGCCCCACCCTTATGGAGTATGGTCGATTTGGCTACCTTGAAGGTACGGGGGCGTGTGGGCTACAGTGTGGCAGGGCGTATCTAAGGCCAGTTAGTGCCTTACCACCAGGCAGGATGGTAAGTTTATTGGTTGGGGTAAGGGGTAACCGGCAGGTGTGGAGTATGACAGTGTCCCACACCCAGTTCTAGAGGACAAGCTAGGTAGGATGGGGAACCTGAAGGGGAAGCAGGGATTCTGGCAACACTGTTGTCTCCCTTATTCCTCCAGGTCAGGAATACCGAATGTATAACACATACGATGTCCACTTCTATGCCTCCTTTGCCCTCATCATGCTGTGGCCCAAACTCGAGCTCAGCCTGCAGTATGACATGGGTGAGGGTCTCTTTTGTGCCTCTTCTGCCCTCTTTAACTCCCTACACTCCTGAACCTTTGTGGGCCCTGAGACATCCCCCTAAACATACCTACATCCTGTTTATGGGTTCCCTTCTGGGGTCACACACTGCCCTGCATCATCCCAAGCCTGCCGGTTTTCTGCCCCACCCTCAACTTGTCTGTCTGCTCCTCCAGCTCTGGCCACACTCAGGGAAGACCTGACAGGGCGCCGGTACCTGATGAGCGGGGTCATGGCACCTGTGAAAAGGAGGAACGTCATCCCCCATGATATTGGGGACCCAGGTAAAAGTCCTTCCACCTCAAGGTCAGTTCCCCACCTCAACTTTTGCACCCCCTGCCCTACCCACCAATGCAAATGAACCAGGCCCCCTTCCCTCCCACAGACGACGAGCCGTGGCTCCGGGTCAATGCATATATGATCCACGACACTGCTGACTGGAAGGACCTGAATCTGAAGTTTGTGCTGCAGGTTTATCGGGACTATTACCTGACTGGTGACCAGGGCTTCCTGAGGGACATGTGGCCTGTGTGTCTGGTAAGGGATGCATGTACAGTAGCCAGTGCATGGCTGGTGTTTGGGGAGAACTAGCTGGTCATTGTGTTTACTTAGAATTTCCGTCTTTGTTATCTTGGTCCCTCCCTAGGCCGTGATGGAGTCTGAAATGAAGTTTGACAAGGACCAAGATGGACTCATCGAAAATGGAGGCTATGCAGACCAGACCTATGATGCATGGGTCACCACAGGCCCCAGGTTAGGGGGGTAGGGATTTCCAGGGGGCCTGCGGTAGGGAACTAAACACAAAAGGACTGTAGGCTCGAGGAAGAGACTCACGGCCTGTTTGGAGCCGCCAGTCTGACCACTAAACCCATTACCCTGATCAGTGCTTACTGTGGAGGACTGTGGCTGGCAGCTGTGGCTGTGATGGTCCAGATGGCTGCTCTGTGTGGGGCACAGGACATCCGAGATAAGTTTGCATCCATCCTTAGCCGGGGCAAAGAAGCCTATGAGAGACTGTTGTGGAATGGTGAGTTGGGGGGGGTCCCAGGAGTCTTAAAGTTGCTGAGCGGACACAGGAGCCTCACGTTGCCCTTCCTCTGCTGCAGGCCGCTATTACAACTACGACTGCAGCTCTCAGCCTCAGTCCTGTAGCATCATGTCTGACCAGTGTGCTGGCCAGTGGTTCCTGAGGGCCAGTGGCCTAGGATATGGAGACAGTGAGGTAAGAGAGACTAGATGGAGGAGCTAGAGGTGGGTTTTTCTTGGTGGTACAAAGTAAGTTTAAAAGATCGTGTTTCTGCCTTTGCTCCTCTAGGTATTTCCTACACCACATGTGGTCCGTGCTCTCCAAACGATCTTCGAGTTCAATGTCCAGGCCTTTGCAGGAGGGGCCATGGGGGCTGTGAATGGGATGCAGCCCCATGGTGTCCCTGATAGATCCAGTGTCCAGTCTGATGAAGTCTGGGTGGGCGTGGTCTACGGGCTGGCAGCCACCATGATCCAGGAGGTAATGTGCTGCCTTCCCCAAGCACACTGGCCCAGCACACTTCCTCAGCCCTCAAGCATTTGCACTGTCTAACCTAGTGCCATCTTAGGCACCGAGAAAGTCTCCCTCTTTTCCCTGCTTGCATTCCTCTCCTGCCTTCAGTTTCTGCCTGATAGTTAAGTTTGTCTTTTCCATTAGCTGGGAACTGCATGAGGGCAGGGACCTTATTGCCTCCACCTGTCCAGCTCAAGAGGCCATTCAGGGGTTGCCAACTAATGTGACTACCATCTCTCTCTACAGGGCCTGACTTGGGAGGGCTTCCAGACAGCTGAAGGCTGCTACCGTACTGTGTGGGAGCGCCTGGGCCTGGCCTTCCAAACCCCCGAGGCATACTGCCAACAGCGAGTGTTCCGCTCCCTGGCCTACATGCGGCCACTGAGCATCTGGGCCATGCAGCTGGCCCTGCAGCAGCAGCATAAAAAGGTCTCCAGACCAATAGCCAAACAGGGCAAAGGACTAAGTACAGGATCTAAATTGGGACCAAATGAAGCCATGGCAAACCCAAGCCCACAGTGAGCCCTCCACACTATGGGAGGGAGGTGCTAACAGCCCAGCCTCCAGCCTGGCCTTTGCTCCTCCCCCACACTACTACTCTCCTGCAACCCTGAGCCACCTGGACAATCATGCCTCTCCCCCTCTCCCCACCCTGCCATGCCAGTAAAGGGACTGAGGGGGATCCAAGCATCGGAATCACTTATTTATTTCCTCACCCCGTCCCCTCACTGCATGAAATTTTCAAGACCAGTTGACTCCCCCAGGCCCATCATTCATGGGGTGATAGACATACAGGGGTACAAATAAAAGATCCAGAAAGCCAGTAAGTGTGGTGTGTTTGAGCCCTCGGGGTTCCCGAGCCCTCGGACTTCTGACAGGGCAGAGAGGCTAAGACCAGCCCTCTCCCACTCCTTTTCACTCGGATACCACCCTAACCTGAGTATCTGCCTTGCAAGATAATGGATATGGGTCTGTGGGCAGGGAGCCACCCCCCCTCTCTTGTGAGATTTGCATGCAGGGGAAAGAGGGGACCTGGGCAGGGGAACTGTGAGAAAAGGTCAGGGAGCCGCAACTTCAGGGGAGGCTCTGTGCCCGGAGCCCGAGGCATATAGAAGAGCAGGCAGCAAGAGTTGCCAGGAGCCTGGAGCTCATGGTCTGAGCTATCCCTTGGTACTTCCGACTGCAGGGCAGGCAGCTCCAGCTGGTGAGGGAGGGCACGAAGCTGGCGAGATAACACTGAGGAAACAAAGACTCTTCAGAGGCTGGCCTGGCTGCTCCCCCTAGTCCACCCTTAATAGTATCCTCAAGCCTCTCACCTCCATGCTCAGCTGGCAGGCTCCCCCTTGTGTCAGAGGAGTACATAGCAGGTACGAAGACGAGACACAGGGAGAACAGGAGGACCTGGAGCATGGGAAAAGGAAATGAGAAAGCTCTGGAATGTACCCATCCCCTTGCCTGCGATCGATCTTTACTTCAATCACCATCCTCACCAGGACACAGGTGCTGCTGCTGCTGGTTTTGTTTGCTATCTGAATGACCATGGCCTGGAGCCGCCTCAACTGATCCAGGAGGGACCTAGGAGAAGAAGGGACAGTGAGCAGCCCCTGGCCTGGCACCCTGAGATACAATGAAATCTTTTTAAGGCCAGCTCTCTATCTGTGCACTAAATCCTCCCAAAATAATAATAATGATAATAAAATTGAACAACATGCATTTCTTTCGTATACATGAGAGACGCACACTGAGTAACTCTTTTTGTCCTACTTCTGCAAATGACTTTCTTCCTCTCTGGACAAAATGCTCAGAGTTCCTCATTAAAACAAATACACACCCCTCTGCTCTGCCTTTACATCCTTTGCAAACAGTGGTTCTGAATAGCTATGCACATAATCCTCATTTGCCAGTCTGTTCTCTACCTTCTGGCCCAACTCACTTATGTTAGGGTTCCAGCCAGACTGGACTATGCTGTGTTCTCTCTCCTTAGAACGCTCCCCATCCCTAACCCCACCCCCGCCTCCAGAAGGCTATCTACTATCAAATGTCATCTGACCCGTGACGTCTTTCTTACTCCCCCCCTTTTTTTTAGATTTTATTCTTTTAGAGGGGAAGGAGAGAGGGAGAGAAATATCAATGTCTGGTTGCCGCTCGTGTGTCCCCCACTGGAAACTGGCCTGCAACCCGGGCATGTGTCCTGACTGGGAATCAAACCGCGATCGTCTGGTTCGCAGGCCCGCGCTCAATTCACTGAGCTACACCAGGCAGGTCCCTCTGTCTTTCTTGATACTTAACCTTATCCTTAGTTACTTTCCAATTTATTCCCCATTATTGTGAGCTTTTAAGAATCAGAAACCCATTCAAGGCCAAGCACCAAACCTTGCACGTGGGCGCTACCCAGCTGGAAATCAAATGTGCAGGGAAGAGAGCTTTAAATGCTTGCAGGGGAGGCAGTGGCAGTGAGAAGGGAGTGATGTTAGAGTTGCTTACAGATTTTGTTCCTCCAGGAGCTGTACTTTGTTCTGTAGTTCCAGATTCTGGGCTGTGTATTTCAAGACCCTGAGGGAATAACGGACGTGGGGATATGGCCTGTCTCCTCCCTTCAAAGACCCACCACTTCCAGCTACTTCTGTTCCCCCACCCCAGAGTCCTTCTCCCTCATACCTGCTCTCTAAAACTCCCAAATACACCTTCTTCTTCCTGCGGCTCTCTTGAGCTGACTTTTTATTTCGAATCTTCCTTCGCACTCGTTTCAAAACTTGTTTCTCCATCTGACAGAACACACAAAAAAAAGGTATATCAGAAGAACACTGGACCAGGGAGGTGGGAGGCAACCAAGCTCAATCACCTTACCAATGCAGGAACCCCTTGTACAACAGACAGTTGGCATCCTGGCTGGATGCCTCCCAGGATCAGGTGTTAATGCACTCACAAGCCAGATCACCTTTAATAACTTTATTAATTAAAAACCTTCCATATCCTGAGCCAACATCTGCTTCTACAATTTCTATCATTAATCTTACCTAGTACCTAATCTGTGGGGCCATACAGAACAAATTAAATGGTCCTTTGCTATTTTAAGGACCTCAACATTTCCTTTGCTAATCTGGGCAAAAATTTTAACTCATCTCCTCAGGATGGACTGCATCCTTTTAATACCTGCCAAATATCTGGGCTCAAAACTGGACACTAAGATGTGGTCTGGTGTCCATGTCTTCTAATACAGAGGAGAAGATGACAGTCACTGCCCTTCTGTCAACCTCTGTTGATAAAGCCAAACCCCATTCACTTTCTTAGTAGCCACACCACACTGCTAACTCATACTTTTAAGAAACTGAAATTCTCTTTAACGTTCCTATCAGTGAACAGTGATTTCATCACAGTACCACAATATCACACTTGTAAAGTTGTCACTCATCGCTTGCATCTTAAAACTCACTTATTCTTGTGTTACTACTTAGTCCAGCCTAAAAACTTAATTCTACCTTCCAGCTATAGGGGGGTTACCATGAAGCCAGCGAAGTCTTAAGTGTCAGCGCCCCTTGCTTGCAGTCCTTTCTGTGTCCCTATACTGATGCACAGATAATTCTGAATTCTTAGAACACCAAAATCCGTGTAAGTCCCACAAAACTAGGATCTGCTCCTACATCTAGAATATTAACCATACCTCTCAGCTTCCCAGTAGCAGCAAATTTGCTACATTTCTCACTCCAGTCCTTTTCAAGTTACTAATAAAATGAACAAAACTGGTGATCCACAAGACAGCAGAGCAGCCTCCCCTGCAGGCGCAGAGCTGTACAGCTTTGCAAAGACCCTGAAGGGTAAGAGTATCACCCTGAGGTTCAGCCCAGTGACACCACTGAGAAGGTCAAAGCTAAAATCCAAGACAAGGACAACATCCCACCTGACCAACAGTGTCTTATTTTTACAGGAAAACAGCCAGAGGATGGCCACAGTCTCTTAGGCTACAACATTCAGAAAGAGCCCACACTGCCCTTAGTGCTTCGTCTGAGGGTTGGCATTATCAAGCCCTCCCATGGCCAGTTTACCTGGATGTACAACTGATGACGAGATTAACTGCTCCAAGTGTTACACCACCTGCACCTCTGCACTGTTGACTGCCACAAGAAGTGTGGCCACACTAACAGCCTGCGTCCCAAGGTTAAGTAAAGCCCCTCCACCACCCCCCTCAGCCATAGGGCAGCCTTCGGGCTGAACTCCAGGACCCTGGGGCCTCAATAAAGTTTCCTTCATTGACGAGAACAGTAAAAGAAAAGAAAAGAAAACAAAACAAAACAAAAAAAACAGAAAAGGCCCACTTGGAACTCACAACCCCCCCCCCCCCCCCGACTAACTTTTGCTCAACCAATAGAAGTCTTACCTTAGTGAGAGGAAGTGTTCCAGGCAGAGTAAGCCCCTCCTGCTCCAACAGCTTCTTCTCCTCATCTGTCAGTGTAAGGCTAACAATCTCCTGGGGTTACGAAAGGTGGGCAGCAAAGTTTCAAGGGGATGTTAGAGAGGAATGAGGAATCCAACCCTTACTCCTGCAATGTGGGAATAATCCTCCCATAAATCGAGTTAAGTACCTGCTCTGCTGGCTCTTCCACATGCAGTGGAGTCATCTGGGTCTCCCCTTTTCCACAGATCCCACCATCTGCAAAAGGGAAAGTGAATAACCAGGCCCGTGAGCCCTCTTCTTCCCCTCAAACTTCACTATCTCCTACTCACCTAGATCTATGGAAACATGTTCTTGCGGGAGAGAGTAGTTGTGATCATGGTGGACAAGGTGGGGGTTAGAGTTGCTGAGAATGTTCAACGATGCTGGAGGACTTGGCAGAGAGCTCAGGAAATCCTCTATGTCCCAGTCGCTCAGGGCCTTCACAGGATTGAAATTAACAGCCCTAGACCTGTCACCACCTCCTGCCTCCCCGACTGAGACCCCACCCACCTCGGAAAGTGGCAACTCCCAGTCCAGTGGAGCCTCCAACACCTCGTCGGGCACCGCCCCCAAACCTCCACTTTCCTCTAGCAAGAAGCCCAGCAGGTCCTGATCACCAGGGTCCAAAGCCAACTCCATTAGGACATCTATGGAAAGAATGGGCAGAAACAGAAGAGTTCCCCCCTTCGTCTGGCCCCAACCCTGAATCCCATGCACGACCTCCACCGACTAGCAGTCAGCCCCACCTATCCACTAGTTCCTCTCCAGCCGGCTTTCCCTGTAGCTACTAGTCGTTCTCAAACCTGGACCCCCCTCTCAGGCTCAATTCTCCGCAGTTTCCAACACAACGGAAGTGACGCACCTACCCCCAAAGCATTCCGGGACTTGGAGTTCCCCGTAGTGCGGAAGTGGCCTTGGTTCTGCGCCACGTCCCGGGAGCTACACAAATAGAGGGGACGTCCCTGCTACGTCCTTACACCCCAGGGCGGTCATTCTGGGGCACCCGCTCCGCCTTCGCCCCAAGCTAGGAAAAAGAATCAGAGACTAAAAAGGAACTCCAACCCCGGCTGGTGTAGCTCAGTGTATTGAGCGCCGGATCGCCAGCCTAAGCGTCACCGATTTGAATCCCCGTCTAGGGCACGTGCCTGGGTTGCGGGCCAGGTCCCCAGCAGGGGGCCCACGAGAGGCAAACATACATTGATGTTTCCCTTTCCTCCCTTCCTTTTACATACATACATACATACACACATACATACATACATAAAGTGAAAACTCTTTTTAAAAAGGGAACTCGAGCGCAGTTCCAGCCTTTTTGCGGGATCGCGCCACACCTTTGCTTCCAGCCAGCTAGGGGCTTCGAGTTTTTGGCTGTCTCCTGAGCAACGAGAGCTGAGGCCAGAGCAGCTTCCGGCTGTCCCCGCAACCCTAGAACGCCGGCCCAGGGCACCGCCCACGGGTGGGGGGAAGTTCCGGGGACGGAAGTGGCCGAGTGTCGCCGAAGGGAGGGCGAGGCCGGATCCCGAGAGCCACCGGGAGAACTAGCCGGCTAACGGGCCGGCGGGCGGGGCACTAGCAGAGCTTCGCAGGTAGGTCGGACCGGGCGATCGGGAGCCTTAGGGTGTGGCTGCGAAACCGAGCCCGGGAGGTGGGCGGGCGGGGCCCCAGACTTTCCTGCGCCTCCTGTTTCAGGTGTTGGAGAGATTTCAACGTCTGTCCATCTCAGCTCACAGTTAAAAGTAGACCCTTTTGCTGGAGCCAGGGCCTTTCTGGGAGCAGTCCTCTGTCTCGGATACGTTTTGGGGAGGGTGAGGAGTGGGGTGACTGAGGTGCGGGGCGGGGATCAGTTTTAAGATTCGCTGATAGGGGTATGTGGGTAGGAAAGCTTTGGGTGAGTTTGGGATTCAAGATTAGCTTTAGGAATTACAGAGCCACCGTTAAGACTTAGAGTTATTAGTGTGAGTCAGGTCATTATTTTGTTTTCTAGGATGGCCAACGTAAGTCAAAGTTCATGATCAACAACAGGAATTAGATTAGAAATTGAGTTTTAGAAACCGTGGCATAGTCAGTATTAGGACTGAACAGTGAAGGGCTGAGTCAGGAAAGGGATGAATGGCTAAGGCGGTATTAGGAAACAGGAAACAAGTTAGGGTCAAGGTTAACAGTAGGAATTAGGGGTGGTTCTAGAGATTGTGGTTGAGGCTAGGGTAGTTGACCGCAGGCAGGTAAAATGTAAGAGATTGATGGTAGCTGGATGCCCGTGTTTTGCAGGAGGTCTCATTCCTGTGTAGTCTCAGGGGCTTTTTTGACCCAGAATAAATGACAAACTGATTTCAGTCATGGCTCTGGACGTCAGCTGGAATTGCAGGCATCTGGGTTTCCAGCTCTTTTATTTTACTCTTGAAGTCCAAAACTCTTCCAGTGGCCACCAAGTTGAGGGGCAAGGGTTTTTGGACTATGTTGTTTACATGGTAGGAGGTGGGAAAAGGACAGGGACCCAGGAGGCATACAAAGCTTAGTCAGTCATAAATGGAAGAGTGTATGGGGAAGAGGGGACTAGTAACTAACTGGGAAATAGACCAAGGAAACACTGTTGCCAAGGGAGAAAAGGATAACTGAGCCCTCTGAAAGTTCAACCCCACTGCCTCCCATCTCCTCATTCCCCAGATCCTAAGCCTTCCTCTCCAACTTGTATCCTTGGCCCTGCATGTCACTCACAACCTTCCTGCGTATCCCCTTACAGAATACTTCCCTTGCCCTCTCCCAGTTCATCTTACCATCCGTTCCTAGCCTCACTTCCCCCTCCCTTCCCACCCTTACTCTACACATCCTACCTTAATTTACCCTCACCCAATCTGAGCTTTCCCATCGTTTTGTAGCTTCCCCACCATTTTTACCCACTCATTTACCTGCATGCCTTTTAGTCATCTATTGAATACCCCACTCCCAGCCCAACACAACTGGCAAGTAACCCTGGTCCCTGCTGTGAGCCATCCCTGATTCTAAGCCTTCTTAATTTCTTGGTCCACTTGTAGATCCCCTTCCCCCACTCCCCAAACAGAAAAGAGGAAATGAGACCCAAAGAGGAAACTGGGTCTTGCAGATCCCACGCCCAGCCAGGCCACAGACCACACCCCCATTTCACTCCCAGCCTGACCCCGCCACTGACCATAGCACTGTCCCCTACTCAGTGTGACCCAGGCACTCACTGGCTGCATCCCCTGCCCCCAACCCCTACAGCCACAGCTTTGCTTAGACACTACCAGTGTCCCTTCACTCTCCCCCGTCCCCCGCCTCATTTAGCAGTGACCACAGGCCCATCTCTTCTCAGCCTCCTAGCTTGACCTTGCCTCTGACCTCACTTCATCATTCCTTGTCTTAGCCACTGTCCACGTGTCATTCTTCCCCTTCTCCCAGCCTGAGCCAGTGACTGCCTACATACATTGTTTTCCTACTGCCACCCTCCCCAGCCTTTCCCTACACGTGTCTTCCCATTTCCAGCCCAATAGTCACTAACCCATTCCTTCTCTTGTTTTTTAATTTGAGGAGGTATGTACATGCATTTTACTTTCTTTTTCTTTTTTTAATATGTAGTGGGGTTTTCTTTAGGATTTTTATTTATTTATTTATTTATTTATTTATTTATTTATTTATTTATTTTTAGAGGGGAAGAGAGGGAGGGAAACATCAATGTGTGGTTGCCTCTCGTGTGACCCCCATTAGGGACCTGGCCCACAACCCAGGCATGTGCCCTGACTGGGAATCCAACCTGCGACCCTTTGGTTCACAGCCCGTGATCAATCCACTGAGCTATGCCAGCTAGGGCGATTTTACTTTCTTAAATTATAGTTGACATACGACATTATATTAATTTCAGGTGTGCAACATAGTGTTTGGGCATTTATATACCTTACAAAGTGACCACACCAATAATTCTAGTACCCATCAGACACACTACACTAGCCTCATTTCCTCCGTCACTACCTGGTACTAAGCACATCTCTGTACCTTAGTACCACTTAGTACCACATCTTAGTACCACTACCTGGTACTAAGCACATCCCCTTTTTCCCACAGACTAACCACATTCCCTAACCACAGCCTCCTCGTCACATTCCCAGCTCAACCCAACCCTTCCTTTTCCCATTCCCAATTTCTTACCTAAACTCGAGCTGCCCCCGCCACTGGGTGGCTGCCAATGATAAGAAGCTGTGGAACCACAGCCTGATTTTGGGTCCTGGACCCTGATGGTTGGTAGGACAGATTGCCATCAGGTCCCATCAGTCCTACTCTTTTTTAAAAAATATTTTATTTATTTTTTGAGAGAGGGGAAGGGAAGGAGAAAGAGAGAGAGAAATATCAATGTGTGGTTGCCTCTCTTGTGTCCCCTGCTGGGAACTGGCCTGCAACCCAGGCATGTGCCCCAACTGGGAATCGAACCTCAATACTCTGGTTTGCAGGCCCGCGCGCAATCCACCGAGCCACGCCAGCCAGGGCAGTTCTACTCTTAATAAAAGTCCTAATGAGTGACATCCTTCTCTCCACTAGTCTGTCTCTAGTTTTATTACCTTTCACTTGTGCTAATGCAGCGTCTAACTAATCTCTAAGGTAACTATCAGAGTTATTTCCTAGAATCGGTTATGGTTATGTCCCTTCTCTACGCACCGCCTCCCTTGGCCTCTTGTTACCCTCCAGTAGGTAAAAACCCCTCATACTTCTCTCTAGTATTCCCTTGCCTTTTTTTTTATCCTAACCCTGACTTCCCCATCACTGCTCCCTTGCAGGTACCCTGTGCTTCAGCCAGCCTGTCTGCTCACTTCCCTCAATGCTCCTCCGTGATTTCCTGCTTATCCGCCTTTGCTTATGCTATTGTCTCTGCCTGGAATGCTACCCCGACTCATCTGTGGCTGGTGTGGTGGAGACCTTGGGCTTTGGAGTCAGAGAGACCTGGGTTCGGATCCTGGCTTCACAACTTAGCTATGTGACTTTGGACAAGTATTTTGAACAAGCGTTTGCTTTCTTTGAACCTCAGTTTTATAACCTGTAAAAATGGAAGTAATAATACCTACCTTGCAGGGTTGTTGTAAGGATTAAATGAAGTTATGTATACAAAACAATGGACACATAGTTAATAAAAAGGTAGATCGCTATTATTTTTTATATTTGTTTACTAGCTTTATATTTAATCCTAGCTTCAAAGGACACTTTTCATGGCGACTTTTTGGTCCCTCTTCCTTTACCTGAAGGGGTCCTCCCCTGACCACATACCTCTTGGCTCTTACCACATCCTGCCCTCTGGTATAATTCTGTTTTTAACTGATCCACTTAGCTGACTGGGAGCCCCTTGAGGTCAAAGGCTAAGTAGGGCTTACCCTCGGTTCCCAGTCACTGAGAGGGTGGCCGCTGTGCTTGCCGACAGCACCGTGTTTGTGGGAGGCTGTGCCCATGGGCTGAAGTCTTCGCGGCACGATAACGTGGTTGTGGGGGGATCTGGGCAGGGGCTGCGTGCCTGAGATAACGTGCCTGAAGAGGCAGTGGACGTGGCTTTGTGGAAAAGAGCTCTGTGCAGAGGCTGGGGTGCATGGGGTGGGGAGGAATAGGCCTGGTTAAGGGTGTCGGTGAGCAGGAGCTGTCTTGGGGGAAGGTCAGGTCCAGACCTCCTGCTGCCCAGTCCAACCCTAAATGAGCCTCCAGCAAACTCGAGGCCGGATATGTCAGTCTCACCCACAACCCTCACCACCCCTCCTCCTCGCGGTTGCGGACTCAGAGGCCAAATTTGGTAACAGCAGACTGAGTGTGATTCCCCCGGCCCTCTTCCATCCTGACTCCGTGTGCAGCTTTCTCTCTCCCTCGGTCCCTC